AAATAAATTAAATTAAATTGAATTACACAAAATAAATTAGATTAAATTGAATTACACAAAATAAATTAGATTAAATTGAATTACACAAAATAAATGAGATTAAATTGAATTACATGGAAATAAATTAATTAAATGAAAACAAATTAAATATGATGAATTAAATAAATAAAATAAATGAAATAAAATTAAATTAAACAAGTAAAATTAAAAATTGAATTTTTACAATCTGAATGATCGTAAATAAAAAATTTAAGGATCCGTCATTTTGACGAGTTCCGTAAAGCTAGTGTTAATTAGTAGCCCGGGAGCCGGAGCAAAATCGAGAGAAACAATAGCCAGGGTTCTAACAAGGGGCCATTGACGAACACAATCGAGTAGCGCGGCCCCAAGGCCATTCTTAATCGCGTAACGCGTGCAGTTCGAGGTCCGCCCCCTACGCAAGCTTAGGGGATGCCGGTTTCCGGGGGTAGCCCCGACGCGTACGGCCAGGTTCTCGCAGTTTAGACTGTCAATGTTAGAGAACGGACTGACAGCAGGCTGGTTGTCGGCACACGGCGACGAATGGCCGGCAGGAGCGGTAACGGGTGCGTGTTGTCTTCAGTGTCGGGCACGCAGCCAACCAGCACGGCTCTCTTTCTCTCTCGTTCGCCGACGCGTGTTTCCCGTTGCCTCGAAAGGGCGGGAAACGGTATTCCGAAATCGGTAAATTCGCGTCGTTTCGTATCGGATTTGTCGCGACGAACGAAAGCATTCCGCACGGCTCAAATCAATTTGTCCGAGAAAAGTTCGGACGATCGTCGTGATTCGCTTATGCTTGCATTTCGAACCGAACCTGAGAGGCTCGAAGTGAGTCACACCGTGTGAATGCGGTGAACTGTTGCTAAACCACGGCGACAACGGTGCCACAACAAAACCAATCGTAACGCGTGTCGTTTTTCCCGATTTCCGAAATTGAGTGTGCGCCGATACCGCGCGCGAAACGAGCATCGGGAATCGATGCCGACACGCTTTTCCGCGGAAATCGGAGCGACCGGCTGATGCATTTATTCCGGCCCCGGTGTCGAGGTCCCAGCGAAGTGCACTCTGTGAAATGAATATGCGGAATTTATTCTGGCTGAATTTAATTCGCGCCCAGCCATTGTCACGCCGTGTGCCATTTTCGCGTGCCGCCGACGCGGCGTCGTTCGAAACGCGCGCGAATTGTGTTCGATCTGTCGTGTGACCCGTGCTGTTAAATAACAATTGAAGGAAGTGATGAACGGTTTCTGCTGGCCGGTGATTCATCGATCTCTTCAGAGATTTTGCTCTTCGTTGGTCCGAGATCCCACGAAACTTGCGTCCTGTCCGAGGTCGACGGAGAACGGCGAGCGGAGTGAAATCGAAGTGGATTTGTTCCGGATGTCGTTGGCCGAGGATTGGGTGACGAGGAGGCGGTGAACGCGGAATGCTCGCGGTTAGGATGACATTGTTCGGGATCGTGGAGGAACACCGGCGAATGTTGGTCGACAGCGGCTGATACCGGCCAATTCGATTAGAGAAACGTGATTGCGGCCGATTAATCGATCCGCGCCTTTCGTGGCTCGTCCCCGGCTCGGTCGCGAACAGACAAAGAATTCACGATCTTCGAGGCTCCGTATGACCGAGATTTTTGTACAAACTAGTCCTTGTATCATAGTTTTTACAGAGCAATTTATCGCCAGCGTAATTTATTCCTAGATATTTTCCTATCGGAGAAATAATTGTACCAAATGTTCATCGCGTGTCCGACCGCAGAGTATTTTTCTAAATAATTATCGAGGAGGATCGCCGAGAAACTGAATTTCTTTATTCGCTCCTCGAGACGAAGCTCGCACGGGGGAATAAGAAGAATAAAAAGAAGTTTTTCGACTCCGTTCGGAAGGATTACGATTATCCGGCTCGTTTCTCTCGGGTGCTCACACAGTGCTCCGTGTTGAATGATCTATTTTCGAAAAACACGTCTCGCTCCGAAAATAAAAGAAAAACCGGAATACTCGTTTCTAACTGGGTCATCGGCAAAGAGAAATCGCCGGGACCGTGTCGGAAGCAGTTTCGATCTTTTGGACTTCGAAAATCCGGCCTCGCTCGAAGACCAAAAGCGACCACGACAGAACCGATTTATACCGGAAGACGTCTGTTCTCAGTATTTGCCACGATAAAGTATTTTAGACAATCGAAGAAATCGCTGTAAACCTAATGGAACGCCGCTAAACTTGTTCAAATCTCGAAGCGGAAGATCTCCAGCCAAATATCCTGCGTTTAGAAATCGAAAGGTTCGCACGAGGTTGGAGGAGAATCGTTTCAAACTCCGTCAAACTCGGTCAAACCTCTTCGAACCTCGACGAATCAAGACTTAGAGATCGGTTCGAACTGGTCCGACTGTAAAGATAAGAGGAAAACCGAGCGACAGGATCGAAATCGGTGAGCACCAGGCGGAACTGATGCGGGTGGCTGAGAGTTAGGCGCGCCCTGGTTACTATTCTAATCCGCGTCCTTGAGGAACGGCTCGGCCCGTTGGTGTCTGGAAGTCTGGAGCTTGGCCGTGGCCGATTGATCGCGCACCAGGGTCTCCTCGTTGTACCAACAAACGGCCGAGGGAACCTGGGAGAACCTGAGGATGCCGGGAATCGTCGTCAGCCACGAGCCGAAAATAAAGAGAGCACTGATTTTCATCGACAAATAATCGACGCTCTTCAGTCTCCCGAGGCTTAGCCGACCTGGTGGCCGTGCACGCAGCTACCCCTTCGATCCTGGCAGAACGAATCGCTTGGGATTACTATAAAAACAAGGTGAGCTAGCTCCGATAGAAACAATCTCGAGTTTCGTTGATTTTCCTCGCGGATTTATGGTTATTTCCTATCGTAACTGATCCGGAAAAGTCGGGGTTGGCTACTGAAATTTATTTTATTTTGTTTATTTCATTTATTTATCGAAACTGTTGACGACGGTTGCATGTATTCGTTTATTTCATTGCTTGCGAGTAAAATTATTACTGCATTTAAAATTGTCTATTTGTTTCCGATTGTTGACAATGTTTGTAACTTCGAGAAGTACACCTTCAATGTTTTAATATTTTTCATCGATATGCATTAATGGAAATTACTATACGTAACAACGCTATGTCTGTAAGAGAATCACAGGTCATCTATTAGATTTTTAGAAAAATGAATAATTCACCATTACAAAATAACGAATATTAGATTTCATAAAGACACTGCAACACTGTATATTGTACGTTCAGACGCTTGCAAAAGTCGCACTACCTTGAAATCATTTTACAGAATAAGATTAAGGGAGGACTAACGAAACGTATATACAACTGAAAGATAATATTAACAATTAAAAATATCTGGACAGTTTTCGAGGCTTGCGAAGCTTGTTCTATCCAAAGTCATTTTCTGGATGACAGGATCGACAGGCCTTGGTTCCCGCGGCTCCAAGAAGAAGTCAAAGAGCAGCAGCAGCGACTTGGTCCCATAAAGTGGTGCTCTCGAGGCCAAGAGGCCCGTGGAGAACCAACAGAGCCACCATACAGAAGCCAACAACCCATAGAGGAGTGACCGTATCGGCGCACTTGAGCCCCGGCCGGTTCGTCGAGGAAGCTAATTTTAAAACGATCTCAGGACTCCTTCGATCTTTGTGATGATCAACGACCATGGCGCCAGGAGCAACGACCCTGACGAGTCTCCTGCTGCTGATGTCGATCGCGAGGTGCTCGAACGGCTCCGCGAACACCCAGTCGTCGTACACCAAGGTTCTGAGGGCTGTCAAGCTACCTGGTGGTTACATGGAGGTGATCCAAGAGGAGCACTGCTCGCACAACACTGTCAGACTGACCTGCAGGTCCCTCAAGGCGTTCATCTTCATCATCGAGGCGGAATACTGGCCGAATCGCACTCACGTATGCAGGCACGAGGCACAGAAGCTGGTCAAGAAGACTCCCTCGGGCAGAGGTAACATGCAGTTCAGGAGCCAGAAGCTCATGGGGAATTACATAGATGACATTGAGGACGAGGGGCTGAGGGTGGTGGACGTCAGACGATCGGTGAACAGTAGGTGAGTCTCTCCACTCTGGTTTTCAATTTATTGCAAATCTTTTCGTCGGTGCTACACCAGTTTGCTGGGTCCTTAACACTTTGACGGTCGGAGAATTATAAAAATTGATTCAACGTAGTTTTTTGAAACATGTATCATTATTATATTATTAACGAAATCTATCCTATTTACATTATTAACGAAATTTGTCCTATTTATATCATTACTATGAACAAAATCTATCCTATTTACATTATTAATGAAGTATATCATGATTGCACTGTTAAAAAAATGTATCACAATTACATTATTAACGCTGACTGCCACGTCAGGCAAACGGGGATGACAGAACGACTTGAAATTTAATCTTTAGAAATTGATGATTAGGCTAATCCGCTACAATTTCTTAATTTTATTAAAAATTCTCGCGAACGTTGAAAAAGAAATTGATGTCGCATAACTTTGCTTTGCAATTACAATTTCACCGAATAAAATGGTTTAATTTCATGAAATATATTAGGTTTTTGGCACGGTCGTCAAAGCGTTAACTAAAGGTCATGGGTCAAGGGAGATAGCTTGCATGAGAAATGTTTCTCGTTCGAGAAAGAGGAGTTTGGAATTCCCTTCGGGAATTATTGTGTTCAAGTCGAGAAGTTCGCCGGCTTAATGCTCGAGATAGCGTTTTCGGAAGTTCTGCGGGTTCCCATGGGTACGTCGCGCTCGTTTTTCGTCGCATTTGGACACAATAACGGCCTCCCAGAGGTAATACGAGTCACCCACCATGCATCCGCAAGGCAAGCAGTGTGTAATGAATATACGGTTACCGGTGCGTAGACCGCAGGACTAGAAACCGCTCCAGCCGTGCCAATGCACGCGGTCGAAACAAAGAAATGAACTCTCTCGACCCAATTAATTGTTAGATAACCGGCAGGTTGGGAATAACGAATGACGATCGGTGGATTTCAACGATCCTGAACATACAATCCTAGCGTTGCCTCGCTTCTATACTTCAATGCTCCGTCTCGTTCTGCTAAGTCCGTTCTGCCCGTTATAACCTCGCAGTACTTGTCGAAATTTAGTACGACTGACCCGTTTTACAGAACATGTACGTTCATTAACCCTCCGCTGCCACATTTCCTATGCGATGCAGTAAGTCATGCAATGTTCAAACAACTGCCACTCAACAACTAGCGATGCTGTTGACGTCGAGAAATCTGAAAATATAATTTGAACATTTTAAAACGTCGTTTCCTTTATTAGAACTCGATATCTCACTCACGAGTATATTTAATTAAATGTTAATACCACATTTTCGAAAAATAAAATTTGTGACAACAATAGCGATGAGATCGACGTATTTGCTGTTAATGTTATCAGATTTAGAACAAATCTTTGCAAACTGTTTAACCGATTCACTGATTCTCCGCCATTCGACACAAATTATGCTTGTCCTTTTGTTATTATAAAAATGGTAAATTACATTAAATTAGATTAAAATCCCGACAGAAGTACATGAAACAGCAATTACATTAAAATTCGTTGCCTTTTCTATCGATTCCAATATCTCTCGTTCGTTAAATAAAAGACGAGGAAACAAATAAAAGGAGCAACATCGTTAATAATTATTTTAATCAAATCAGTTGGTCGAATAAAATATTTCGAGCGAAGATTCTCGAATAGCAGTTCCTACGACGAGGAAAGAATTCAGTAAGCTGCTCGGATCTTCGGACGCCATATTGGGTCCTCGGCATTGTCGGCGTCGGACGTCGTCGGCAGAAAAGTGCATCGGAGTCGAGGGGGGGATGAACGTCGAACAATCGCGTGAATGGAACAGCAGTCGAATGCAATTCGGTGGAATTAGCTGACTCTTTTCTCGAGTCTCGCGAGAAATCGGCTCTCTCATCTTTTCAACGACTCTCCTCCCCCTCTTTCTCTTTCCCGAACATCGCCCACGCCCTTTATGTACCGCGTCCGACACGGCCGTGGCGTATCTTCGTAGGGTCGAGCGAAATCTCGAACACGCAAAATCGTCGTTTGATGTGCGCCAGCAAAGCGTGCGCGAAGTTTTAATTGCCTTTTGAGCGACGTTCGATGCCCGCCGAAGGAGAAATCGTTTCCGACAGAGTGCATCGCGCGCGAGGAGCACAGCTCGATGAACTTTGCAAATATGTAGGGGGTTGCAGCCGCGATCGTGAAGGGAGCGACCTTCCCTCCATCACTCCCTCTCTCTTTCTCTCTTTTCCGCTCTCTCTCTCTCTCTCTCTCTTTTCCGCTCCCTCTCTCTCTTTCTCTCTTTTCCGCTCTCTCTCTCTCTCTCTTTTCCGCTCCCTCTCTCTCTTTCTCTCTTTTCCGCTCTCTCTCTCTCTCTCTTTTCCGCTCCCTCTCTCTCTTTCTCTCTTTTCCGCTCTCTCTCTCTCTCTCTCTCTCTCTCTCTCTCTCTCACTTTCTCCCTTTCTCTCTTTCCCCCGCTCTCTCATTCTTTCTCTCTCTCTCTCTCTCTCTCTCTCTCTCTTTCCCCCGCTCTCTCATTCTTCCTCTCTCTCTTCCTCCCTCTCTCGCTTTCTCTTTCCCTCTCTCTCTTTCTCTCCCCCTCTGTCTTTCTCTTCTCACCCTTTTAGGCTCAAGCGCCGCGTCTTCGAATCGACGAATTCACATTCTGGCCCGCTTAAATCGCAGACGAAGAACAGTCACTGTCCAAAGTATTTTTAAATCACAAACACGCGCGTGTATTACCTAGAAAGCGTTCTACACTCTGTTATTTCTTCCTCCTCCGTAATAGATTATTGTTTGCTGTTTCCAACACTCTATTATGTCTGTTTCACGTCAGGTTTATTTTGTAAAGTACCGGTGAATTTGTAGAGTACTAATACATTCTTCTCGCAAGAACCAGTTGGTCAATTTAAAACGATACAAAGAATGGAGCTTTTATCTTACTTTTACTATAGTGCCATTACGCCATTATGATTCTAATTCACTCAATTGTACGACAGTGGAACTAAGTGGACATCTATTCCTTTTTCTAATAATGTTTATGAGTCGAACACAAAGCAATAGAATGTTTAAACTCTTTAAATACTTATCATGTTTTGCATTCGATCATATCGATTTGCATTCGATATCACGTTTTTGTCATAAATGCTCGGACAATAGAACATTTATTCGGTTAAAATACCAGACGTCATTTTTATCGATTTGCACAATAAATCGTGTTGTTGTATACGATTCGATTGCGCCGTTTGCAAGTGAAAAGTATTTACATAACAGAAGGTCCTGATATTCGAGGACCGGAAAATCGAGGTACTACTGTGATTCCAACGGAATTAAACGAGCCATTAGGCTCTTAAAAACTGGTAAACCGAGTTCCAGGAGAGAACCATCTGGCGTGCTGCGACAGATAGCGTCCGCGTCAAGTTGTTTGTGGCGGCACCGAGGTGAAATGATCCGACCGGGAGAATCGTGGGTCGAAAGTAGCCATCTGCGTCGAAAAAATTCAAAGGGATTCCTCTTGGCGTGGGTGGTGCGCGAAACGTTATTTCCCCTTTATTTCCGGGCTCCGGGGTGCTGGCCCGATAATATCGTCGACGAGAGAGGGGAGACACTGGCTGCGCCGAAAGGGGTGAAAGGGCCGAAGGCCGACCCTTCGGCCATTGTGGCACCCTCGAGCAGAGTCCACTTTCGATTCCCGCGCAACAATCATCTCGATCTGAAAACAATCATGATTCCTCCTTTGCCGTTGCTCGTGGGGCGGCTCGCGCTTTCGACACCCGGTAGACGCGCTAATGGCCTGCGTCGCGTATTTAATTGTCGGCCCCCGGAGCCCTGCCAGTCGATACAATCTGCGCTTCGTCTGCGATATGCGAATTCGTCGGCGAACGTGTTGCGAGCCCTTTTGATGTACGATCGATTATTCTGCCGACTTGTTGATTGTTTACCTTCCGGACGGTTCAATTAAATATGCAAAAGTTTGCCGACGACGCGATCGATCCGAGATTACGCGCAGGGTGGTGAATATTTTTCAAGGGAGATTAGGAAGCTCGTAGAACTAATGGGAAAACTTTCTCATTTTCATTTAAATACATTTTAATATTTTCATTTCGGCTAGCCCCCTGTCGCCAGGTTTATGAAATCCGTAAAAATCACAGGACAAAGATACATTCATGGGTTATTCGTTCAATACATGCGTTGCTTGCGGCAAATATTACAATAACGCTCTTCTAAGATTCAATTCGTTGTATAAATTATTGTATTTTATTCGAGACTGAATTATTGTATTTTATTCGAGACTGAATTATTGTATTTTATTTGAGTTTAAATTATTGCATTTTACTCGAGCCTAAATTATTGTATTTTATTCGAACCTAAATTATTGTATTTTATTCGAGTCTAAATTATTGTATTTTATTCGAGCCCAAATTATTGTATTTTACTTGTTATAATGATTTGTTGCCGCATTAATTTACCGCGTGCTCTTAATGCCACCGGCTTCTAAATTAATTCCAGCGAACACGAAAACCTACGCAATTCTAAAAAGAAACTATGACCAACCAGTTGCATCAGAGGATACGTTCCGATGCAAATCTGGCGAATCGCGTTTGTAATATCTGAATGTTTAAACGGATTAGCTTTGTTCTCGTCGATTAATATTTACAACAATGGCTTCTGTTTTGCAGATGTTCCGGGAAAAAGCATTGTCCATACAGCTTTATTACGGATCATCCGAGCGCAGCTTATTGGAATCCGGCTGCTTTGAGAATAAAATACGCTTGTGTCCCAGGTAAATTTCACTCAGAATTCTGTTGCACCTCGTAAATGCTTTATCATACGTAATATGTACGGCAAAAAAACAGCTTTGTCGAAAATACGTGAAACCAAATACATATTTGAAAATTGGAGCGTCTAAAATGAAACGATGAGTCGCGACATTTTGTACCGTGTGAGAAACAGGAAGTGCATGCGATTCGATTACCTATTCGCACGAGCATGACACTTCCCCTGCTCGGAACGGCGTAGGGAGTCGATTTTCAGCCGTGTGCAATCGATAATCTGCGATCTAGATAATCGGAAATAAATATCAGCTTGTCTCAAATTGGACGCGGATCGTGCTCGAGGCCACGCGAACGTCAAAATGGAAAAATGTTGTTTTTTCGTCTTAAAATATTCTATGTGCCAATGGCAGTATACCATTTTGGTGCAATGTCTTGTTATAAATAATTATAAGTATTGCTAATAGATGAAATCGCCTGTGTATCAAGTTTTGATAATAGTCTGAAGATAGCAGTGTTTACTCTTCCTTCCAGAAAATTACATTTTTGACACTTACATTGTTGAGAGACTCTAACGTCGACGAACATCGATGTACCGTAAAATTTCACTTTGAAAATTCTGGCGACGCTTTCCGAAATAGTTTTGGTCCGGGGCGTTCGAGGAGTACAAACACGATTCGAAACAGTTCCGGTCTGAAATTCTAGGGGATCACGTGCTCCTCCCGAAGCAGTATAATGGCGGCAAGTTCTTCCGGAAAGCGACAACGTGTTTCGTAACGACCGGCTCGGCGCGGCGTCGCCGTCTGCGACGACAGAGGGAAAAAATCCTGAAAGGTCACGCTAATCCCTTATTTCTATGCAATGGCGTGTACCGTAGTAAGAGACGCGAAAAGGTCCCGACGATCTGAATACTAAATGCAAAGCGGGCGAAAACAGGGATCTGTACCTCTTTTACAACTCTAACACCTCGACCGGATAGTTCTCAAGTAATTTTAGTAGAACTGCGAAGCTAACCTAACCTAAATTTATACGTAATATTTCACAAATTATTACGTTTCATCGAACTATCGCACAGTCATGATTTTTTTAATTGTGCATAGTTATAGTACAACGAAATTTTGACGAAGCTAAAAATTGTTAATAGCTTAAAACTCCCTTAAATCAATAATTACAAAAGAATATTTCTATTTACAATTGTAACGTATAATATACAATATAAAAAATTATAAATTGTGAATTTTTCGATTTGTGCATTTTTCGATGAAATTGTAGCGAACACAATGAAATTTTTGAAAGACGCTGATCTATGGAACAAAATATAACAACCACACAGAGTACATAAAACGACAGTGTTTGTTGTTGATGACTAGACTGCGGATTTTTATGCAAAATAAAAATTGTCTGCATGAATTGCAATATAGAGGCACTACAGAGACATTTCTTTTCTTAATTGTTTTATTGAGTTGAAAATAAAGCAGTATTATTTCTTAATTCTACTCATTAGTTCTACTCATTTTTGTCATAAATGCATAAAATCTGCAGTCAACTAACGACCGAGAAGTCGATGCGACTTTAAGCCAGAAAGAAGAAGAAGAAGAAGTAGAAGAAGAATGACATTATTTCATCCCCAAGTACTTTTGGAAATGTACAAAAACGAATCACATAATTCTGGCCGGCTTTCGAGGCCAAATACTCCACTGCGCGACGGCTTGCGAGCGGCGTCATCCCCCTCCAGGTGTGCCCACACCCCGTTTTCGCCCGTCGAATGGAAACTGGAGCAAGGACACCCTCGCCGAGTACCGATACCACATAATGGTACCCGGAGTCACACTTCGAATCGACAAATGGACCGAAACGGATGCAGATGTTTGGCCCGTGTCCTTATACCCACCGATGGTGTCCTCGCACCCCTGGGGAGCAGCGTGCAGATGGGGGTGGCGATTGAATCGAGTCGAATCCAAGCGTAGAAAATAGGATCTCTCTCGCGCTCGCTGATAATTTATACTCTTTTTCCCTTTCCCGCGTCGATAATTCATCCCTCGGACGGGCTGGAAATTTAATTTGCTCCTCTGCCATAACTGGATCGCAATATAAAACCGAGAAGATACAGTTGCCCCAAGAAGTACCACGAAAGTTCTCGACATTGAAATGGTTGTAACTTTTTAAATAACAATCGTATCGGCGTAAACTTGGGCTGATTTCAAAGCTTGGAGATTCTACTTTTACAGTGCATAATTCATTTTCTAGCATGATGTTTTACTCGGTTTTGCACAACTTCGAATCCAAGGTCTACTGCCAATTTTACAATAAAGCGAGGTCGTTCGTCGTTTTCGTTACGGAAATCGTACGACGAATTTTGAGGAGGCGTTGCAAAGAGGATTCTTCGATCTTGAATTCCACGTTAAATGTGCTCAGGAAACGAAATTTTCAATGTCTTCGAAGATATTTCAATTCGTACCATCCTCGAGAAGAAACGAGTCTTTAGTTCTCCATTTCGTGCACAGATATTTTAGAACAAAATGAGCGCGATGCACAGTGAAAATACGTAGAAAATTCAAGCTTTAAAACAGGTCCGTGTTCCCCGGGTGCAAATGTTTTATTACGGAATTATAACGTTTCGAATACTTTTCACAGCAACTGTCTCTGCTCATCTAATTTCCTCGTCGTTAGGGGATGCACGTTCTCGGTTTATTTTTCTCCTGTCGGACTCGCGATTAACATTTCATTTTCTCGTTGCAGAGAACTCCGTGAGGAAGTATTGCAACGAGGATCTAAAGGTGGCGCAGGGCGAGGGCGGATTCGTGAACTCGCCCGGCTATCCGCTTTATTATCTCGGCGAGAATACGTGCGGATGGACGTTCAGGTCCGCTCCTGGCCAAAGGATCGTCCTCACTTTCCACGACCTAGATATACGGGGTGAGTATCGATCCGCGCGTGTGCCCTTCGTAACCTCCGCTAATTAAGCCAAGTGGGTCCTGGTAGGGGGATCGATTTAAAAATCATGAGACGAGCAAGCTGCTCTAAAGAAGATGAATCGCTACGGCCGACCTGCCGCTACGATGATCCTCTCACGTGCGCCGGGACTTGAAATTTTCAGGTGCATTGAACAATTCATACGATCCTCGGGGATATCCGAGAGATCGGACGAAATCGTTTCCTACCTTTTCCCAAGAAACGAACGATGCCCGATAATTTATACACTGCTCCACAAAATTGTAGCATACACTTTTGGATAAAAATTGGTTAACTTTGACTGACGATAAGTCCGCGAAAAATCATTGTAAGATGATGATACTTTTTCCAAATTAAAGCTCGAAATTTCTTCTTTAAGATACTGTTTTTCGATTTTATGTCTGATGCATCCACGCCGCTGTAATCCTTTTAACGAGAAGCAATGATTATCGTATTGAAAATTGTCAAGTTTGACGAAATGCACAGACATCGTACAATTTTTTTCAGAGATGACGTTTACAACCGAATGAAGCTTGATCTTTTCTCTTTAATTTAAAAGAAAGGAAACCAGGCTGCACTTTTTTTCACAAAATTACAGCGCTTTGAAGTAACCGTTGTCAAAGTTGGCCAGTTTTTCTGCAAAATGTTTCTATGTTATCATTTTTTGGGGGCAGTATGTTTTATTCATTTTTGAATAAAAATATTTAAATACGTACGAAAAACGTGAATAAGTCGTCATCTGCCATTCGTAAAGCTCTGCATCTTTCGTGTTTAACAATTTCTGATCACATGCAACAATGCAAAAGTTATTTAAGATTTGCAAGTCATAAGACTCGCTCTGTTTATCGAGAGCACTGGGATCCATTGCAATTTTTTTCGCAAAATTACAGCACTTTGAATTAACCGTTGTCAAAGTTGACCAATTTTTCTGCAAAATTTTTCTATGTTATCATTTTTTTGGGGCAGTATGTTTTATTCATTTTTGAATAAAAATATTTCAGTACGTACGAAAAACGTGAATAAGTCGTCATCTGCCATTCGTAAAGCTCTGCATCTTTCGTGTTTAACAATTTCTGATCACATGCAACAATGCAAAAGTTATTTAAGATTTGCAAGTCATAAGACTCGCTCTGTTTATCGAGAGCACTGGGATCCATTGCAATTTTTTTCGCAAAATTACAGCACTTTGAATTAACCGTTGTCAAAGTTGACCAATTTTTCTGCAAAATTTTTCTATGTTATCATTTTTTTGGGGCAGTATGTTTTATTCATTTTTGAATAAAAATATTTCAGTACGTACGAAAAACGTGAATAAGTCGTCATCTGCCATTCGTAAAGCTCTGCATCTTTCGTGTTTAACAATTTCTGATCACATGCAACAATGCAAAAGTTATTTAAGATTTGCAAGTCATAAGACTCGCTCTGTTTATCGAGAGCACTGGGATCCATTGCAATTTTTTTCGCAAAATTACAGCACTTTGAATTAACCGTTGTCAAAGTTGACCAATTTTTCTGCAAAATTTTTCTATGTTATCATTTTTTTGGGGCAGTATGTTTTATTCATTTTTGAATAAAAATATTTCAGTACGTACGAAAAACGTGAATAAGTCGTCATCTGCCATTCGTAAAGCTCTGCATCTTTCGTGTTTAACAATTTCTGATCACATGCAACAATGCAAAAGTTATTTAAGATTTGCAAGTCATAAGACTCGCTCTGTTTATCGAGAGCACTGGAATCCATTGCCGATTTGGCCAGAAAATCGGCACTCTCGAAATAGTAAGATTGTTTGAACAGAACGGACGACTGAGATTTATTGTTTTTTAGGGCCGGAAGTGGACGGGAGCTGCGTGGACGTGGTCAGAGTGCGCGACAGAGGAAGAACTCTTCTGGAGCATTGCGGAACCGCAGCTGGTGTCAGGGTCATCTCGAATTCGAACGTGATCACACTCGACCTTGTCGCCTCGAAGGTGTTCTACGCGGCCCGGGGATTCTTCTTGCATTATCAAGGTCAGGCTCCGCAAGCACGCCAACGATCACGGGGCCGTATGTTCCGAATAAAAACGATCGGGATACAAGGATCGAGGAACACGAGACGAACAAACGACGATGGTGTTGCGCAACGAATCTCCCTTTCATCCAGAAATAACACCGCCTCGGATCATTTTCGGTGCAGGGCCGTGACACGCGCTCGTCCGGTCATCGTGGTACATGATTCTGAATGGATATCGACGGAATCGATATCGTGTTTCAATGAAGAATTGGATACTTAGCCGGGACGCCATTCGTCGCGCAGTTCTATCTATATTTATGCTTGACAATTTTTTGGTGGTGATTTCTCACGATCATATTTATACTACAATGTTTAATTATATTAGGATGTTCACGCAACGATTTAACTCTTTGTCAAGAAACAATTGTTTGGAAATACCGAAAGTGTTTTACTGAGAGGACTATGTTGTGTAACGAAATCTTGATGTTTAATCTTGATTTAATCGCTGGGATATTAACGTATTGACTTAATTGAAATATTTTTCTGATGGAGCTAGCAAGATCCTTGATTTCAGAAGTAATTAACTTTGTTTTTATCGAATAAGACATATCACATTTCTTTCATTGAGAAAGAAACAAAATAAATAAAATTAACAGACTTTTTTATTCAAAGATAAACAAAATGAAAGGACTATTTTATTCAAAAATAAAAAGGATACAAAAATGTAATATGTCTTATTATATAAAGTTAAGATGTATTAATCATATAAGATATATTAATTATATTAGATATATATTGAATATGTTAATTATATTACATATATATTAAATATATTAATTATATTAGATCTATATTGAATATGTTAATTATATTACATATATATTAAATATATTAATTATATTAGATCTATATTGAATATGTTAATTATATTACATATATATTAAATATATTAATTATATGAGATATATATTAGATATATTAATATATTATGATAAGATATATTAATATATTATTATAATACACATTAATACATCTTATAAATATAAAGCTAATTATGCCCGAAAGCAAACTCAATTGTATTTTCAAGAATTGTACCGAATGTAAACGCGGAATGATTCGTGGCCAGTATAATTTGTGAAATATAGGGTGGCTGGTGTGTTTTCGTGCGATAGACCGGTCTTGTCAGCGGTATAAATTTTTCGGGAGGAAATGATAATATTTCAGAAAATTATGTGCTTTCGCACGCCGGGTAGAAAAATAGAGACTTCGTGCGGCGGGTGTGTGAGCGTTCGCCTGACAAATGGTTTAATATTTCAGTGCTGGGATGCCCGGACGTATCAACACCGAATGGGAGCTATATATTGAACGGCACCCTGACGTCCAGGACGTTTCTGTGTAAATTCGGCACCGTGTTTCCGGACAGCAAGGAAAGTATACGGACGCTCGAGTGCAAGAACGGCAAGTGGAACGAGAGTGTCGTCACCATACCCAGCTGCAAAGGTAAGGGAATCACCTTCATTTTAACGTGCACATCCACTTTTTCCCAAGTTTTGGATTCGGTGCAACACAGTTCTCAATTCCTGAGCTTCATACTTCCTATATGATGCAGGAGGAAAAGAGAAAGTTACGTGTATGTTGGTGTTACATCTTATGTAGGCTTCATAAATATGTAAAAAATGATGCTATGGAATTGTATCTTCGTTGGCATAATTTGTTGGATTTTCATAATTACTTGTCTCTTTTGGGTTGAATCAATTTTGATATTAAAACTCATTCTATTAATTATACCCCCATATGATCAACTAAAAATTTTTATTATTAAGAATTATCTTAATAATAAAAATTCCTAATCAAATGTCTACAAAAATTAACTAAATTATTTTATGCTAAATCCAATACTAAATTGTATTGGATTTTATTAATATTTAAATTTAATCTATTCAAATCTATATAAATCTATATAATAATATAAATAATAATAAATTTACTAAGTAAATTTATCCTACTACGTATTTCTACTATAAAATTTATTTAATTGACATTATACCCGATTAAAACCAATTAATTTAATTTTAAGGAAATGGCTTTTCTAGTCAAAATGTAAAAATTAACTAAATTGTATGTTTGTCTTGATCATATTCAAAATTATATTCAACCTATACATAATTACTAAACACTTTTAATCAAATTATACAAATTGTTACTATTATCACCTTTTATATAAAAGCTATAAACAAGCTTTATCGATACTATTCTCAAAAATTAAACACACTATTTCTGGAAATGTTTAATCAACTTTCCTCAAGTAGTACCGCTAAAGTTACGACCTGTATAACATATTTTTAATTCTTAATACCTGATTCTACAACGATCAAAATCACCCATAAAAAGCACTCGAACAACCTCTTATCATTGACCAAACAGAAAACAATGAATTGATAAGTGTTCCAATCAAGATACCAATATCAGAAGCTGATCTTACATTGGGAACTTTGTCATTCGAAAATAATATAAAACAGTCGGTTTCGGAGCACCGTAGGTTCATTATTAAACGAAAATTTGAAGAAGAAAAAAGGAGTCTCGGCGCCGGGTGCTGGAGTGCAAAGATACGCCACTTACGGGCCACCCGGGGATCCCATGGCTGACCATTGCTTTGGTAAGGGGAAGTTGATGGTGGGGATACCCCGTGGCAAAAGGGAGACGTCTGGTGGGGTTGTCTGCTCGAGAGGGGGAAGGATGAAAGAAAAAGACGAAGGGAAAGAATCTTGGGGCGGAGAAGTATTCGTGAGGGCACCATAGAACGGGAGCGTCGCGCACGCAACGACGCCAGCCGTCTCGACGCCACGTGTCCGCGCGAAAAAAAATCGTCGGCAAAATTCATTTTTCGCGCACCCGGTTCATACGTTGTCGAACGATAGCGCGGTTCCGCTCGTTAACGCTCCATCCGACAATAATTCGGCGCCGCGATAAGATAACTTGTGCTTTTCGTCGACATTCAAATTCGCGAACTTTCGCGTCGCAGAAGATCCACGCCTTCGTCGACGGCCGCAGCTAAATTATCAGGTAATTTTTGCAGAAATTATATTAATAGCAGCGTCGCGGCGATTACTATAATACTTTGTTTGCACATTTTAATGGGGACGTTGATAAGAACCGATCGAATCATTTCTGTGCTAATTATATATCGGCCGGAGTAATGGCGACGTACTAATAGTACTATACAGGGTGATCCACGCGATTGTTCCAGGTCGTAATTCTGTTATTAATGGATTCGCGAAAAAATACCAAAAGCAAGAGATAAATTGTTCGAAGAGCACTACGTCTGTAGGCCTTTTGATTTTTTCTAAGTGCATCGGTACATGTGCAATTAACAATTGCATCGTTTTTACACATGAAAATGCATATTTATTATTGTACAGATCGATTCCTCTGTTCATTCTACGTAAAAAGTTATTAGAATACCATGGCAAAAAAGTGAATAGTTCTCGAGATATTTTCAAAAAATGTCTACATTGAAGAGGACGCTTAAACGCTTAAACGTTGTAATCATTTCTGATAACGTTTCTTTATTGTTTTCGCAACTGTGTTTAAATTATCTGTAGCTATTGCTGCTACAGTACGATCCTTTCTCTCGGATCCTTTACAGAATTTTCAGCATTTGAGTAAATTCTGGATCACCCGGTATATTGTACTAGTGGTTCGATGGAATAGTTCTCGGCGGATCGCGTGTTAAGATAATATTATCGCGAATTTTCCCAGATTTTTCGCGGTTTTCTTTTTCCTCATTATCGATAAGTATGTAAGATTGCATAAGTTCGGAACGATCGACACTCGGGGTCAGTAGAGTGATCTCTCGGTTGTGCGTATCCAGCGAATTCGGAATTAATTAATGCCGCTTGGTAACAGGCTTCCGGCAAGCATCGCGGGATACTTCACAAGAATTATTAATTGCCTCGTTCAGCATGGCCGAGCCTCCTTCTTAAGCTTCTTCTTCCCTCCTTTATCCCCGTCGACGCGACGTCCGCGGTTTTGGAATCATTCTCGACGAGCGATCAATTGGGCCGCCACTGCAGCTTCGTAATAGATCCAATTAATTTGGTGAATCGGTCTATTATTCGGCAAAATCGTCGTCCGTTCGCCGATTTCACTTCATCTAATATGCATCTGATTTTGTCGTGATTAGTAGTGAAAATAGTGAAAAAATTCAACGAAGCTATGTTGGTACATGCTAGTTTGAATTTTTTTTAATTGTTATAGTAACAAATAGAATTATACTTGGCTCGTTCATCTCGCAATCGATACAGACAATTTTTATTTCGCATAAATGTCCGCAGTCCAGCGATTAGAACTCGCCTTTCTTTCAAAATTGCTAATTTAATAGGAGCATATTAGGTAAGTTTGAGTTGGTATTACACGGCGAGAGTTGATATTACATACGCATCTACTGGTCGTTATGCAATGCTTTCTAGAAGTATACGTCGCACGGTAGATGGTTCACTTCAGTAAATTATACTCGAGTATTTTGCTAGATTTTATTTACGATAAATGTGGAAGAAAGGCAAATCGCTGAAGAAGCGTCAGAAAAGCGCCAAATTCTCTTTTTCATCGAATAAATCGTTACAATCGAAACAGTTTTAATTGCTTTAATTATGAAGTTAACGGTACGGCAAGGAGTCAATAACAGTAAGAAGTTGAAAATAAACTAAAATATCAATTATTCCAATGTCCTGACAGTTTGCTATTTTCACGAATCCGTGAAATCGTCAGACCAGTGACAAGCAACGAAAAAAAATCCACATGCATGCCTCGAAAATATTTCAGTTCCACGAAAATATTTAGCCGCGGTCCGATAATTATCGTTGCGGGAATATTTAACCGAAAAAACATGGTCGACAAAGTTCCGCTGGCATCATTAATGGGAAGAACTTCGGTGCACAGTTTGAATTAGTTCTCCGATCGGCGGCATCGATCGCGGCCGAGCCAATCGCGAGCCAATCGCGAAACTTTTCCCGCGACCTTTTCCCATCGCGCAAGCGTTATCGACCTCGCGACGGTATATAGATCGATCCGCGAGAGTTTCATCCGCGAAACCCAATTTCCACGAATTTGTTCGTTTATTCGCGGCGCGTCTCGCGGCGAGAGAAGTCTGGAATGAAACGTCCGCGGTCAGGAAAAATGACAACCCCCTCATCCCGGCGAGAGCCCTCCCCGCGGCTTTTCACGCCTCGAACAAAAGGGATCCGGGCGAATGTGTCTACGTCCTTTGTGACGGATCCTCTATTCAGCCCGCTAATAATTCGCCGCGGCGGAATTCTTGCCGCCGCGAGTTCGCGAAACGAAATACGGCGAACGATTTTCCTATCGTTCTCTCCCCCGGCAGACGTCTAACGATGTTCAGGAACATCGGAAGCATTCGGCGCGATTCGAATGATAATTTCGGCGCCTTTCTCG